CCCCCCCCCCTCACTCCCGAGTTATTCAGAGCGTAGCTTCATCAAATAGGTTAGAATATAGTCACTTGCCGATTAACGGATAATGTCTGAATAATGACGGATAGGTTACTGATGGATACATTTAGCTCCAGAGGCATAACATGACATCGATAATTCTTGCCTCAAAACCTTAATTATTTCAGGACTAATGGTTCTACTATTTCGTTCGTTCTTATTTAAAAGCAACACCCTATACATATCTCGCACTCACTCCGAATTGTTATTTTTGGAATTGAGTATCCACCTTTAAAAGCAAACTGCGTGTTGGGGTTGGCCATCGACGCTAGAAAAAAAAAAATACAATATTTGGTCTCAGCAAATGAGTTACTAATCTTTATTTCCAAATTCTATTATTAGTTAACATTTCTTCAATCTCAACTAATCGTATATTTTAACACAGATTAAAATTGTTCACAAACAATTAAAATAAATATTTTAAAATATTTGTTACTGGAATTTGATATTTGTAAAATTATTTAAAACTAGTTTAATCAAATTAGAATACAATACTTATGGGGTTTGAAAAATAGTTATGAATCATTTTTGGAAAACCAAAATCAATTTTAAGAACAGCTAACACAATTGGAGCATAAAGGCCAAGAAACACATTATACTGCTTAGCTTTTGGTAGTATTTTTATTGATTATATTTCAAACGATACGTGTATACTGCTTAGCTTTGGGTAGTATTTTTATTGGTTATTGATACGTGTGTTGGAAATGATGTTTTTTTTTTGCAAGATAGTTAGCCTTATATTAACCATCGTTCATTTTAATTTTCGCTGCCCTGCGACTCGTTCATTGTTCACGAAACATACCATTTATCTGTTCGACTTATTTCCTTGAAACCAAATCTTTCAAGCAATATCCTCTACGTTTAACCTCGTGGTTAATTTCACCACCCTTTGACGACCTAACGAACTAGGGAGTGCAGAAGTTGAAAACCTGCTTGTCTAAAAAAAAGATGTTTATTTTTTTTGCCGATAACTGTGTGCTAAAAGTGGATGGAAGCGTCAATAGTCCTTTCATTGGTTCCTCTTACCTATAATTTGCCGCTCATTCGCACACCACATCAATGAGATCCCGCCTCCGTCAGCTTTGGGAGTCTCTACAAGTGGAGCTGCACGGGAAGTATTCGACAAACCGCGTGCTACAACTGTTCAAGTACACTAACAACACCAGTTGGCTGCATGTCATCACCGTGTTGATAGTAACCCCTCTTCCTTGCTTGCTCGTGACTGTGTTGGTTGATATCCTACCACTTGCGGACCCCGCCGAAGGAGCATCAGCCAACAAACTCTTCTTCTTGCGAGATTTTGTGATCTCCTCGGTGCTGACTTTCATTTGCATTCACCAGTTTCGAATTAGCATTCCGGTTCTCCCGTATCCGATTTGGCGAGCATTCGTGAATTCTATCTGGATATCAGTAATTTGTGTTGCTACTCTTTACGCATTAGTCATTACAATAGGATTCCCAATGCCGTTCTCTATGGTAGTGGTAACACCCGTATGGATCACTCTCATCTCAATATCAATGGCGATTGAATGGATGGACAAGATTCGTAAGACTCCAGGAGCCGAGATTATGATGAACAATGTTATCAAGGTATGGATATGTCAAGTAACACTAGAGTTCATCTACCCACCGTACTACTACGTCTTCACGATACTGCCCGATAGGGGTCAGATGGTGTTTGCATTGATACTCCCAGTGATCAAGCTGGCCATGAGGAATTTTTTCGCTCGGACAGTGGTTCATCTTACCGACGAAATGCCTGAAGTCATCGTCTTCAACGTCGAAGTGTTCAACGCGCTGTTTGTATCCTACTGCATGCAGAACTCACCATCGACCTGGACAACATTGGAGCTAATGTTCGGTGACATCGCAATGATATTGATCTCGGTGCAAGATATGGAATCAATTCGCCGTGACCTGAAAGAGTTGGAACTGCGAATCGGTCAAGAAAATAGTTCAAGTAGCTGTTGTGCTTTGGATCTCAACGCAGGAAATCGAAGACCTACCACACTGGATAGGACGCAGGTACTCTTGGAACAAGATGCACAACAACAAGGCAAGGAAGTCTCACGGCGTCTTGGGC